AGGGGGCGGGGCTGGGCTCCGGCGTCGCGGCGCTCGGCGCGGGAGGGCGTCGCGGGGCTCGGCGCTCGGGGGGGGTTCCGGCGGCGCTCGGCGCGGGGGGGGTGGGCTCCGGCACTCGGTGGGGAGGCGGCGCTCTGGGGCGGGTTCCGGCGGCGCTCAGCGGGGGGGCAGCATGGCGCTCGGCTGGGGGGGGTGGGCGGCTCGGCGGGGGAGTTGGGGGGCGGCGCTTTTTTTTGCTGCTTGGGGCAGCAAAAAAGCCAGAGCCGGCCCTGATTCCAATGCAACATAAACGCCTTGAATAAAATCTCCTCTTGCTAACATTTCAGGTTTTCTGCTTTCAAGAACACACAGCTCATCAGCAAAAAACATCTTTGATACTTGTAGTTATAATTCTTGTCTTTATGCAGAGCTATGAATCATACTGGGGATCTTGCACTATGAACATATAGAAGCTACTTCTCTGTTTAGGAACTCCCTATATAACCATGAAACGACTTGTAGTGCTGGCTTAGATCAAAAAGCACAACAAACCTATATTTCAAATACATACTGTTATAGATAATATACCAACCCTCACTCTTGAATGCACAATTTTGTACTGTTGCTTAAATGCTCTAAGATGTGAGTAGTAAGAAATTGGCAAAACAGAACCACACTCATGATCAGCTGTCTGAAAGACATATAATGCATTACTATGCGGCTATTATTATTTATTAGAGCTAGGGAAATTATTTGAACAAAGACTTTCATTGAAAAATCGTCTTTTTTCAAAAGTGAAATATTTCACAATAAATTGACATTGCTAAAAATGTTTATTTTTGGCAAAAAAAATCGTTTTCTTTTTCCAAATATTTTCCCCAATTTTATTAAAAGCGTTATTGAAAACATTACTGAAATGGTGGTTGACATTTTTTATTTATTGAAAACCAGGTTTCGGTAAATAAAACATTTCAAGGACAATTTCAATAAAGTTTTCAATATCATTTTTGATATAAATGTTGGGTGTAAAATCCAAAACAAAGTTCAGGCAAAATTTTTAAAAGGTGAAAAATGGAGCAGTTTCAAATACTCCGAAATGATGACAGCTTCAAAATTTCACATTTCGCCCCCATGAAAATAGGCTTCTCGTTTGACCAAGTCTATTTATTATTTTCATTACAATATTACTCAAAGGGCTCAGTCAGGAGCAGAGCTTCACTATGCTAGGCGCTGTACAAATACATAGTAGGAAATGGTCAAGTGAGCTTCACAATACACTAAATACAGAACAAGTAACAAGTTGGCCTGGAAAATCTAAGAGAAACTTCAGCACGCAGAAGAAAGTAAAAAGGAGTTTCGGTAAAAGAGCTATTTGAAGTTACATGTATTAGATGAGAAAAGTACTAGCACTGGCAAAACACTAGATTTTGCAGTGTAAGAAACTGAGATCAGCTCAAACATCCTCTGTCTATGGTACTCAGGTGGCCCATCATTACCGTTGTATCTGACCACCTTGCAAACTTTAATGTATTTATCCTCAGAACACCTATGTGAAGTAGAACCCCCATTTTGCAGATGGGGAATAGAGTCAGAGAAAGTGTCTTGACCAAGGTCACACAAAGGGTGCAGCCAAGCAAGGAACTGATACCAGATTTCCCAAGTCACAGGCTAGATCACTAACCATTTGACCACCCCTTCCTCTCAAAGTCTATTATGTACAACAACTTCCCGTCACATTATAAGCATCACCATTTGTACCCTGAACCTTCAGCCTTCCAGCACGGAGTGTGTTGCAGAACTAAGCCAGATATTTTAAAGGGAGTTAGGCACCAATGGGAGTTAGATGATTAAATGCCTTTAAAAATTTGGCCTTGAGTACATAGCTTTACAGTGGACTGAACCAAAACCTTGGACGTTGAATTCCTGCCAGTGGGATTTCCAAATCAAAATCTGAACTCCCCCGAAGTTCAGAGAAGTTAGGGTTCAGCCTATTATATGAAAGAATCAATCCATATTCATGTGTTATAGACAACAGATGCAATTAGTAGATAGTGAATAATATATAATGTCTGTAATGTAAGTGTCCAATTCTGAGAGATGCAGGGTGCTCTCAGTTCCATTGGTGTCTATAGGCGATGACGGCACTTAGCACTTTGAAAGTGGTATTCAGTGTGTCAGAATCATTGCGGAATGCAAATTTAAAAATAATCTGAAGAATAGCTTTGCTCCTCTGCTGAGTGATGGAGGAGAAATTAGTGATGCAGAGTTGGGGGAACAAATATCTTTTCTCCCTGTGTACTTGATGCATTCGGAAGCCCCTTCTGTTATAGTCAGGTTCTGTTGCTCGTCATTTGCATGGACTGCTCTGGGCAGAACTCACATACGTAAGGGGGGGGGTTTTACCAGGAAAAGCAAAAAACCTGAAAGCAACTTGAAAAGGCAGCAGGCAGGCAACTGCGAAGAGAGGAAGCAGAATTGGGGGGACCAATGCATGTTTGGGGGTGTTGCTAACTCTCCTTTGCTGGAAAAATTATTCTCATTCTTTATATTCTGGTAGCACCTAGCTGCCCTAAAATCAGGACCCCCCTGAACTGGGTGCTATGCTGCTAAACAAACACACAGTGAGAGACAAAGAGCTTGCAACCTAAATAGACATGACAGAAGCACAGAGAGGTAGAGTGTTTTGCCCAAGGTCACACTGCAGGTCAGTGGCAGAGAGGGTATAGAAATCAAGTCTCCTGATTTCTAATTCAGTGCCCTAACTAGTATACAATGCTTCCTCCATTATAAACATCGCCAAGAGAACAGAAACACCCTTATTAAAACACATTTTGAAGGATTTTTTTTTAAATCTGTAATTCTATTTAAAGAATCTGCTATCGGAAACCTGATTGCTTTTTAATTACTCAATTTCAAAAATATCCAAGTAAAATCCAAGTTGACAGTGTTCCCTGAAGGACACATTATTTGTCCCAACAAATTGATTGCCAGGATATTCCTCAGCCTAGAGATTTTTGGAGTCTTTTCATTTGAAATTCCAGCCCAGAGAGTTAAACCCATGCACACTTGATGAAGAGTGTCTTTCCCATGCTCATCTTGCAAGCTGCAAGGAGGGAAGGCACTTTGAGCTGTTTCTCCCAGCTCCTTTAAAAGTAAGCAGTAGAGAACGCCATTCACTGTACTGCTGAGGAATATCAAATGCCTTTACCCATGCCGTCAGATATTCTGAAATCCTGCAAGCTTGACAGCGTTGTCATCTTTTTATTGACAGCATCAGCCAGATGAAATTGGTCAAGGAATAAATCAAGTAGAAGTAAAAGACCTTTTAATCCACAATCACACACATCCGCACTGCCTGGAGAAGGGTAAGTGCTTTAGAACCCTTTTTGAATGGCAGGATATTAACATGCTTATTTGTCTTTCCTTCTGCTTGCAAGACTTTTTTCCTTTCAATCTTTTCTCCCCATCGACGTTTGTATCAGGATTGATGTACCTTATACCTATTGACAGTTTTTGACACTGATGAAATCTGAACACTGTGACAGCACTTGGTGGACTGTTAGCAATGTCAAGGTCACTTTATTTCTCTTGCTTTAGATTTAATTCTTCCAGCCTGAGGAGTACTTTGTCTTAAGGGAATCCTCCTTCTTGAGCATCTCGTGATTCACAGCCTCCTTGCTCCATTACCGTGGCTATTATAAGATCAGAATGAAGTTCATACAGTAAATAAACTATTAGTTGGACGGTGCTGTTGTGCTTTCCTAATTACAGCGTGTAGCACAGTTCTGACTGCTGGTAGCAAGACTTAAAACCACAGCTATTTTAAATCAGGGAGAATCAACAACTTAATCCAGCAGTACACAGAGAAGCTGTAGGGTTTATCCATTGGACATAAGTGACTAGAAAAAGAACTAGAGGAGGAAAATAACCCACTCTGGACTGGACACATGCTGAGTTGCCAACAGCAGATTCAGAGGGGATACCAAGGGCTTGTGGAAAGGCTAGGTAACGTGCCAATGACAGCATATTAAATAGCACATAGGTACCAGTTGCTAAGGTATAATGATTTTTTTCTTCTGTTAATTGCAGATTGAAAATCTGCCTTCCTGTTAAACTTGCAGCCTTGCATTTGGCAAAAGCATTGCAAGCCACCGAGTCCCCATTTTTCAAAGTCTTCCACGATGTATTTCAAAACTTCTTTTTTCACCAGAGTCAGCCACCTCGATGTTCGACAGAAATGTCCAGAGATCCCTCTGAGCTGTACCCCAATAGAGCTCTAGAGGAATATTCTTAAATCCTACAGACTTTAGAGACTTCTTTCTTTAAATGTCACCATAGTAGTTTTAATCAGGAAGGGCTGGTTTGCTGAGTAGGGAAGGTCAGTCGATTCTGCTCCACTACCCACCCCATTGGGAGCAACTAAAGTGTGCAAGAAGCACAAGAACCTTCTAATTGTTCTCCAGAAGCCTCTTCCCAGTAACCCATCCTTTGTGACCATCGCTCAAACATTCATTGAGCTTAGATCAGTAAGGGCGAGAAGAGGGGCCTTCAAGGGTGTATAATTCTGATAGGAGAGAACAACACATGTGTTAACATACCCACTATCAAGTATTCCCACTAGCAATGAAAGGTACAGCCTCTTCTCCACCAGACAGGAGATGCTCCATTGGCTTCAGTGGCCAGGATTTCATTCCAAGGGCTTGGTACATGAACAATTAGACCCCAGCGAGTCCTTTTTGAAAGGGGTCTAGCTCAAAACACAAACTGTTTACGTGCATCAGCAGGGTGCGGATGGACAGTCAGAACACAGCGGGCTAGCGCAGAGTAGAGTCACACCCCAGCTTGCTGTGCTGTCATTGTTCATGGAGACAAGCCCTTAGTGTCACGTGATCCAGCCATGGGCAGTCATTCCTAGTGATCAGAGGAGAGTCAGGCCTAGCATCAGAGCAGGTGTTGGTAGTCAGGAGTCAGAGGTCAGGAACCAGAACCAAGGGTTCGTACCAAGTTACCATGAGTGAAACAAGACAGGACAGGGCTGGAACAAGGCAGGGGCAGGGCTGGGAACAAGCAGGCACAGGAGCGATCACAGCCCTGGGAAAATGCCTTGAGCAGCCATTGAAATGCTGCAGCTGCTGGACTTAAGAGCCAGTCTTCTAAGTCTTCTCATCAGTCAAGTGGTGTTGCCAATCAGGGAGCCTGCTCCAGGTCAGCTATGTTCATTAGGTTGCCTGGAGACGGACACTGCTGCAGGCCATGATTCCTGACACTTAGGATATGTCTACACTGCAATTAGACACCTGCTGGCTCGTGCCAGCTGACTCAGGCTCACGGGGCTCAGGCCATGGGGCTGTTTAATTGCAATGTAGACGTTTGGGCTTGGGCTGCACCTGAGCTCTGGGACTCTCCCACCTCGCAGGGCCCTACAGCCTGGCTGCCAGCCTGAGCCCGGAAGTCTACACTGCAATTAAACAGCCCCACAGCCTGAGCCCCATGAGCCTGAGTCAGCGGGCACGGGCCAGCTGCTGGTGTCTAATTGCAGCGTAGACATACCCACAATCTCATCCTCTCTTGAGTAGCTCCTGCTGGGGGTTGGAGGGGTGTGTATAACACACAGAGCGACCCTTCTGGCTGAGTAAGGAGGAATGTGAAGGGAAATAGATGGCCCATGAAGACTAGTAATGAGGCAAAGAGTCATTTACCTCTAACGTCCTGATTCAAACCTAGGCCAGGCCAGTACTACCAAAAGTTGGTATCTCTCAGTCTAATTCATAAAGGACAGAAGTCCATATCACAACTGCCCCAGGTCTGGCATTAATTGGAAGTCTCAGCAGAGACATCATGGAAGAAATGGAGATGAAGACTCCGATATTCTCCCACCCAGAAAGGGGGCCTCTCCAGTCCAGGGCTTAGGTGCATTTGGAGGACA